GCAGCAGCAGTTTCTCCGTAGGCCCAGACCCTCCTGCTCTACCGGAGAAGCTCGATGGGACTCAGACTTTTGAGAATGAGTTAGATGGGAGTCTCTTCTCGTTCCCCTCCTTATGCTGGCATGCTGTCTACTGTGGTTGAAAGTGGGCATCTGAGCAGTTTGGGTACCAGCTGTCACCTGTTCCATCGACCAGATTCCAGATTCTCAGGAGACTATTAGGGTCCATGTGTGAAGTGCCACTCTCAATGTCTGGCTATGCCCACTGCGGCCCCCCCCCCCCCCTGTCTACATCCCCACCACAAAACACAGCAGGAGCGGGAACCACTTACTGGATGTTGACCTGCATTGTGGTTCAGTTCTCATAACAACCCTCAGCTGCTCCACATGGGAAGCCTGAGAGTCACAGGAGCTAACCTGTCTGAGGTCACCTGGCCAAGGTGAGGCTGGAAGGGGTGCACACCCACATCTCTTTGGCTCCAGCCTACAGGCTTCTGTCACCACTCTATGCCTGCTGTTTTGAGGTTCCCTCTCCTTGCCCCTTCTGATTTGAATGACTGAACTGCCCCTGCTCTCAGCCTCTTTCTCCATGAGTCTGACTTCATAGCAGCCCCACATCATCATAGTTGCTTCTCTAGGTCTACTGCAGCTCCACAATGATCAGGAGGGTAGCTGCCCACCCTGTCCTGCCTGTGATAACCATCAGCCTTTCCTGAGGAGTCACAGGCGCTCCACTGCTGTCCAGGAAAGGGATGGGGGTGGGGTGGGGAGTGTGGGAGTTCATGCTGTAGGACGTGCTGGAAGAAGGAGGAGGGATGAGAGAGAAGGAAGACCGAGCAGGTCCTAGTGCCTGCTGAGCCTGCGGAAGCAGGTCCTCACAGTACCACCCCTCCTGTCCTACCACACACTTCCTGACTCCGATGACTGTCATTTGTACCCTTTAGGGCTCTTCCCAGCCTGCAGACTCCACCAAAGTCCTGACTTGGTCTTCTACAGTAGAGAGAGGGAGAGTGGGCTTATAGACACAAACCTTAAGACGCAGTCTGGCCCTGGCTCTGCGGCCTTCATCTGTTTTCAGGAGGAAGCCAGAGATTACCGAACTGCTTCTGGTTGTGCAGGCTGCTGGCCGAGGAGCTGTCAGGAGACAGGCAGCATGTCTCCATTCTCTGGTTAGGTGCGAGCTGAAGTCAGCCCTGCCAGGAGATCAGCTTGTTTCTGTGTGCTTATATGGTGTGTCTTTCAGTTTCCCAGTGAAAGATCTGTTTTGGAAGTGACCTCCTCTTTTTCTTGAACTGTAGGGAAAGAGGACTCCTCTCATCTGTTATACGTTGGCCTATGCTGAATGTTCTAGAGCAGTGGTTCTCAACCTTGCTAATGTTGCACTGATCCTTTAGTACAGTTTCTCATGATGTGGGGGACCCCCAACCATAAAATTATTTCATTGCTACCTCATAACTGTAATTTTGCTACTGTTATTAATCATAATGTAAATGTCTTTTCTGGTGATTTTTAGGTGACCCATAGATTAAGAGAGCTGCTGTTCTAGAGCCAGGTGTCACATAGCCCAGAGGAGTAAAGGGGTTTGGATGGTAGGCTGTCAGCCCCCTGTATCCTACCAGCAAAAACTCGACAGTCCATCTGGCATTTTTGGAGCAGTGCCTACAGTTTGCCATACCATCTGGGTGGGGACTGCAGAGGGCTGCTATTTCCTGCTCCAGTGTCCTCACCCTCCGCCTTGAGAAAGCTGTGTGCTGGTTCCCCTATGGAGAACAGCCATAGCTACTGCTGTATGTGCCGCACAGCCATAGCCACTGCTGTGTTGTGGGGAGGAGGTGGACTCAAGGCTCTGTGGCCTTGAAGCATCAAAAGCAAGGGTAAGGTACTGGCAGAGTTAATAGAGAGGCTGGTGGCACTGGGCAGGGCCTCTGCTGAAATCCAAATCCCATCAGAAATCCAAAACTCCGGGCTCTGTCCTTTTTCTGTGGGTCTCAGTCTTTAGCTTTAACATGCACAGAAATCATGCCCCCATCTCTGATCTGGCCTGTTTGACAAATCGTTATGTTCAGCTGTTTGCTTGTGTCCATGACAAGCTCTAGTAGGTGGCTTTCGTGTGGGCCTTATCCACAGTGGATGAGGTGCTCTGAAGATGGCCATGTTGAGCACTGGTGACCCACTCAGGTCACCCAAGGGGACCCAGCCCACTCAGAGGCATGGCTCTTAGTTTTTCCAGGTGGAAGCTCTAAGGAGGCTATTGTCCTCCCAAGTTCCAATTTTAGCCTTTGTCTCTGCAATGGGTGAGGGGAGGGATTCTTTGGGCAGGTAAAGAATCAAACTGAAAGTACAGGGGTTGTCCCCAAAAAGATGTCCCAAGGCTTAGTAGGTATGATGAAGGTGAAACTTGTCTGGAATCAGAAGTGGGGTCTGAGAAGGGATTTGTCTGTCCCAGTGATGGTTAAGCTGAGCTGTCTAAGCTGACAGAATAGCCACCACCCTGCCCTCATGTTCCACCCCTCACCTTTGTCTTGGAGATTCACCTTTAACCTCACCAGGTGATGAGGATGCTGATGGGCTAGATTTTGGCCATGCCCCAAGATCTAGTCTGTTCTTTCACTAGACTGGTGACAACTTTTTGAAGGCGAGGGCCTGCTGTGACCTGCCCATTTGCTCCGGAGTCCAGCATGGAGCCTGCATCCTTTAGCCAAAGGGTCCAGCTCCCTCCTGCTGGCCTCAGTTGTTGGGTTAGTCAAGATGGCATAGGCCTTCTCCCTCACAGGTGGCATGGGTGGGGGAGTGTGCTGAATCAGAATGCATGGCTCCTTGTGCCCAGCTTCCTCTTCCCTGCTGGCCCAAAGCTTGGGAACAGTGGCTGTCTTTCTGGGGCAGCCAGGGCATCTGGCCAGAGCATGCTCTGTTGGGCACTGTCAACCCTTCAGCAAGACCGGGTCCTGCTTTTAACCTAGAGAAAGCCCCGGGTTACAGATGTTGTTCTTGGCGGACCACCGGGCCCCTCAGCACACAGGGAGGCGAGTGTGCGCCCGGCCTGGGCCTGTTTGTGTTGGCCCCGCCAGGCGGGGATTAGCTCAGCTGGGCTGCTAATTGCCTCCGAAGTGCCGGCCGGGACGCTGACAAGGGCTGGGCCTTTAGTCCCCTCCTCTTTAAACAGGCACCATGCCAGCCTTGGGGTCCCGGCCCAGAAGGGTCCCTTCTCTCCTCCCCTGTCAACGCCTGCTTGGCCTAGACCCTTGAGATATGGGTAGGGGGTCATCAGTATCGACTCAAGAAGAATGGGGGATGCCTATGAAATCATCGCCTGGAGAAGGCCAGGCCACACGCCTCACCGTTCTCTCCTGCATTCTTAGACACCTCCACCCTACTCTGAATTGATGTTGAAGCTCAGCGCTTTCTGCTCCCAACTAAGAACCTGCTGAGCTCTGTACCTCGGCTGCCACCCTAGTGCCTTTGTGCCTTCTCATGCCTCTCTTTTCCCCCTGTATGTCCTCCCACCCCCTCCCATTTCCTTACTCAGTTTCTAGCCCATTTTAGTACCCTCAGCCACCCACTCCCCTCCCTTCCCTTTTGTGTTCACTAGTCATGTGTTCTAGTCCTTGTGTGACAGAGTTGACCAGACCTGCCTCTGGTATCTCCATGCTTCCTGTGTGGGGCTCAATCTTAAGGCATTTTCACACTCTCCCCGTAGAGACCATGAAGCCTGAGTTTCCAGAACATCTACCCAGAATATGGCCCAGCCTGGGGCCTGAGAGCTGCCCACCCTTCAGGGCCCACTGCATGCACACTGCAGTTGACACTCCCACCTCTACTCTGACCACACTCCTGTCCCTGGTTCTTGACCACTGTGGAGTGGAGTGGCTCATAGCAGTCCCCATGCTGCTCGATGGCTCAGCTTCTGAGCTGCATGCTAGTGTCCAATCCTGGGGTCTCTGCTCAATTGTCTCCACTTTGGGAGATTGGTGTTCGTTTAGCTCTATCTTCTGCTACATTATTCACTATCTCCAAGAAATATATTCTGTTAAGAAAGCTCTATATAAAGTGTATATGGTGGGGAACTCTATATTACAGATGAGGAAATGAACTCCAAAGAGGATAGTAAATCACCAAAGGGTCCACACAGTGGAAAACTGGCAGCATGGTGGTTCTGACAAGCCTAGTGTTTGTGGCTGGGATCTTCTCACAGTTTAGGAAATGGCTTTGCTAAGCTCTGGCATCTTGGGTCCTCACATCTCCAGTCCTACTTCCTGCCTTTGACTCTGATTTGCCCTTTTCCGTCCATCCCTGCCCCTGACCTCATCCTGCCTGTTCATCACAAATGCACATTACCCTGCCACCCAGAAAGCACACGCACACCTTCAGCCCCTTGTGGCATCAGGTGTTTGGAAAGCCAGACACACAGCCTGACTGTCCCCAGGCTACTGTGCATCTGTCTCATTGTTGTGAGGGGGCACTGGCTGGTGAAGGTAAAAGGGGGGTCCCTGGGGTCTCCACATTGCAAGGATCCTCAGCTGAGGATTTTCCTTTTGTGTGTGTGTATGTGAGTGTGAGTGATTAGAGGTTAGTGTCATGTCATTGTCCTGTAAACAACCCCATCCCTCCACTTGACTGGTTCTATTTCTCGAGTTCCCTTATAACCACAGGTCTTGGGAATGTGGTTCTGTTCCATTGTCCCTGTGTCTCGCATCAACACCTGCTTTATCAGGTTTCTGTCCCCACACAAACACTTGAATGTTGAAGTCAGTCAGGACGAAGTTTACGTGGCTGCTCACGGTAAAGTATAGACCAAGCTGCTGTCGATTTCAGCCAGCATGAGGGAGGTCCTGATAGGCCTCTGATCAGTTCTTCAGAAGCAAAAAGCCAAGGACGGGATGCTCCCATACTTAGAGAATTTACTTTGTAGGTACTTACTTAACAAATAGTAGCTGCTTTATCCAGTCCTTCTTGAAGTATCTCTCTTCTCCCTATTCTATTAAAAAAAAAAGTCACAGCTACAATTGCCAGATAAAGAAATAATCATTTTATCGTGCATCTCAGACTATGCCATGGGGAGGTCACAGTGCCAAGGAGCCTCGTATAAAAACTGGGGGATGGGGTGGGCAGCAGATAGGGTAGCAGCATCCTGAGCTGGGGTTTATCCAGCCCTGGCCTTAGAGGAACACCGCTTTTGCCTTGGGACAAGAACAGTGGAGTGTGGTTCAGGTAGGATGTGGACTTTCTGGCTAGTTTCCTGGGTCCTGTGTGACCCAAGAATGGTGAGCTATGTCAGGCCTATGCCAGCTCTTTGTATTTGAGACAGTTTGGAGCTGGACAAGTCCAGTGAAGTTCTTTTCCTGTGGCTGTGGCTTCCTTTGGCCTTGGCAGTGGTTTTAGCCTGTGGTCTGATTCACCTAGTCACAGCCTGCAGAACTTAGGGTCAGCGTGGGGGAGACAATGCCCATCAAACCAGTAAGTAGCCTCTGGATGGGATCCTTGGCCAAGCATTCTCTGAAGGGGCAGCTCCCCTACTTGCTTTGTCTGGACCTGGCTCTGTGTGTGTGTGGGGGTCCTATCTTCCCTGGTGCTAAACTGAGTCTACTAGAGGAACAGTGGGCCCAGCTGGGCAGCTGTGGGGACCCTTGGTCAGCTCAGCTTTCATCCACATCAGAGACAGCCTGCCAAAGATTATCCCTGCATTTGAATGTGGTTCCAGCATCTCACTTGGTTTTGGCTGCCTCTTCAGATGGACAGTGAGCAGAGAGCTTGGATGGGGTCCAAGGGTGTTGACCCTCTTCATGAGGGAGCCAACCCCAGGAGGCACAAACCACAGGCCCAGATGAGAGTTTGTGCAGGCCTAAGCCCATACTCGGAATCCTGGGTTTTACAGTCACACTACCCAGTAGTAAAGACCTTGGGATTTCAGGGTCCCAAAGGGGAGTCTAGAGCTGAAGACATCAATCCTGGAATCCTGGACATGGGGACAACTTGGAGACCAGGCTGGAAAGTCTCTCTGATGATTGATCATCCAACTGAGAAGCAGTTGGGTCTGTGTGTATCCTGTTCACAGAACACTTGGTAGGTTCTTGACAGTTTGGCTGGTGTACTGGGCCAGGCACTAGCTACTGATGCTGTCCCTTAGGGAATCTTGTCCTTATTGTACTCAAGACCTTGGGGACCTGAGGTCCTGGGGATAGAGGAGCCTCGGATTCTGAGACCTCATTAGTCAGCCCTCCAGCTGTTCCCCCTTTTAACTCAGCCTCTTATCCCTCTGCAGCCATGTAGGCTCCAGTGTGGTCGGTCTCTGGCTCTTATAGCCAGAGCCTCTGTCCCATTGCTCAGGCCCAAGGAAACCTGCTGTATCTCTGCCTTTGGATACAGGGACCAAGGAGGGGCCTGTTTTTTCCTCTGCTAAGGTCTTGTGGGGCTGACAGGCATGAGTACCTATTGTAAAGAGGGCATGTGCCTCTGTGTTTGTCCCCAGGACAGATGTGATTGCCAAGGGAGATACCCCAGAACAGGGCCTAGACCATAGTGTTTGCTCAATAAATTTTGTTAAGTGAATGAGATAGTGTAGGTTGGAATCTCTTTGCACAGCCCTTTCCTGTCTCTCTCTGTGACATTTCCATTCTCAGTTTCACAGAGGACAACACTGTGAGGGTGACTCACACAGGGGGTGTGACTTGCTGGGCCCAAGCTAGGATCTGATCCAGGATGACCGCCTAGCCCTGCCTAGGAGAGTCCAGTTGTAGGGACAGTTTTCCCTTCTGAGGAGGAACCGAGGCAAGCAGGCCTTGGGTGGGCATTCTTGCCCCTTCCTGACCTGTGTGCTTGCCTGGAATCTAGCTGCTCATGTGAGGGCTGAGAGCCCTTAGCCTTTGACCTGGTATCTGTCCATTCCCTTTCTAGGGACTTTAAGAGCCAGGGTTACTAGCGGTCCCTGTGGATACGTGGGGTGGAAAGGTGCAAGCTCCCTTATTGCAGGTGATATGAATTCCACCAAGATGGAGCCTGCCATCCCTGCCATAGAGCCATCTGTTTCCCTGGATGGTGGGATCCACAGTCACTCCGTGTTACCCACGTTTTAGTCTATGTGTAGAAAAATAGACACCAACAACAGCTGAGCAGTCAGCAGTGGTCAGTGTGGACAGCCAGAGGCATCAACAAAGTCCCTTTGGTCAGTGGCAGCCACACACAAAGGCTCAGGCTTGGGGAGGCCCTGGTTGGTGCCCTTGGGGTTGCCTTTCTTCTATTCTTGGCAATAAATAACTTGAGGACCCAAAAACCAAACCAAAACAAAAAAATACAACCAGTATCTCTTGGGAGAGGTGGTGGGAGACTGTTTAAGTTATCGGCCTTCCCTGGGCCACGCAGGTGGTGCTGGGCACAGGGGGGCACAGTCACCGGCACGTGTGCACCTCCACAAGCCGCTGGCACTGCCGGCACTTGACAAAGCAGCACCAGTGGAACCGGCAGCCGCAGCGCTCAGCCAGCTCCACCTGCGCTGTGTGGAAGCCGCGGCCACAGCACAGCAGCTCGCAGCCATCGATGGCCTTGGACGTCTTGTTGCACGCGCGGCCCCTCGTGCCTAGCACCCCACTGCGTATGTCCTGCTCACAGAAGTCTGGACTGGGCTCCAGGTACACCAGGTCCTCATCCGTGTGCGGCTTGAACTGTGCGTTTCGTGGCACCAGTGCCCGGGAGGAGCCCACGCGACGTGGCTCTACCTCTGTGGCACCATCAAACTTCTCCTTTAGCGCGTGGCCGACCTGGCGGAAGGGCGGCACAGCTCGCCAGCATGTCTTTACCTCGCAGGAGCCTGACACCCCGTGGCATTTGCACTCCACCCGCATATGTGTCAAGATGGCCTGCAGGGGAGGAGGCAAGAGGGATGATCAGGGGCAGTGGAGGAAGGGTGGGGGAGGGCCCCTGGCGATCAGCAGGTGGACAGGAGGACTGATGCACAGTCAAGGGGTTTACTGTTGGGCCTCCTTTCTATAAACGTCTACAGGATGCTATGCTGAGCTGGCAAGCAGTGTTGGGGACATGGCAGTGAGCTGCTGCCCCTGCCCTTGGGCACTTGGAGTTGCTGGAGGACACAGTGAAAGGCTGTGTTCTGGAAAGCATCTGGTTGAGCGGTAGGTGACCTGATGGGGAGCGCAGTGCTGTGCTGAATCTCCACAGGGACCTTGGAAGTAGACATCAGGAAAGCAGACTGTGTTACAGGTAAGCAAATGATGTGTGGGTGGACAGGAGGGTTCGAATCCCAGTGCCTCTGCTTGTCAGAGGCCGAGACAGGATCCTCACGATATGAAGGAACGGGGTCACTTAGACTGCTGTATAGCACCTGCTTTCCCCACTACCAACCCCTGGCCTACAGCGGTGCCTGGTGAGGGGACCAACCTTTTCCAGAGCAGCTGTGGGGCTATTTTAGGGACTCTGCCCGTGCAGCCCTACCCCACAGGGACGGTGCCACTCTACCTTCCTGCCAGCCTCGTTGTTGTGAAGGTTCATGAGTGCCCGGCTGGAGGAGGCCCCCTTGCTTCTCTCCCGTACGTCCACAAAGGACTGTGAGAAGGCTACGCCATAGGCGATGTTGTCCGAGCATCCTGACCACTGGAAGCCTGGGGTGCAGAGGGCATAAAGAGTGCTGGGGTGAATTTGGGCTGGGGCTAGGCCTCTGCCCTCCCCTTTGAACATCTGTGCTTACCCTGTGGGCTGACCCCGTGCACTGTCCGGTCACAGCCACACTTTTCCAGCTCTCCACTGCTACATGCCCTTGTCACTGCAAAGGCCACACCTGCTGAAGAGATGGCGTATACAAAGGCCGCCTCCCGGGTCCCTGTGGGAGGCAGAGGGAGGCAAGGGCTAGGTCCTAGGGTACCACATTGTAGTTCTCCTCCTGCCTGGGGGTGGGGCTGTCTCTCCCCAGCCCACAAAGTCAAGAGAAGCCATAAGACGAGGCACATGCCTGGAAAGGCCTGTGAGCACTGTACGGAGATCAAACACGCCGGAACCACTTCAGGGAGCTAGTTCAACTTTAATTCCAGGGAGCAAAGGCTCACTCTCCTTGGAGAGTGGGTAGGGGGCTCCAAGGATAGGTGTACATAATTGGTTGGAATTAGGTGCTTCAAGGATACTTGATTTGCCTTAAACAGAACACAGAACGCTCTTATCATATGAACGGAAACACAGTACCTAATTATCCTATAGGCACAGGGAGGGGAGAGCTAGCAGGGAGCTGTGTCAAAGGCCATATATCAAATGTGGTTAGGGGCATCTATGTGTAGAGACACTTTCCAGATGAAGTCAGGCAGAGAGCAAGAGGCCCTGCTGAGCTTAATGCCAAGCTCAGAATGGCTATCCGGACTGGGAAGACTGCAGGGTCCTTCCAAAACTACGTGCACTTTCTTTGCAGAAAGGGAAAGGTATATGAGTGTTGCCAAGTGGTAGGCACCAAGGAGGGACACAGCAGGTGGAAAGCCTGCATACCAAGCACACAGTGGGTCCTTATTCTGATCCACCAGCAGCTGAACCCTCTTTACACGTGAGGACCATTACATCCTCCAACAGCCTGTTAAGGCAAGAGCTATGGTCACCCCCATTTTACAGATGCTTGGCAGCTTGTCACACAGCACGTGGCCTAGCCAGCAGACAGCCTGGCTTCAGGGCCTGATCACTCAGCTCCTGAAGAATGCTGTTCTCACTGTCTCCTCCAGAAGGCAAGGGACAGTCATGTTCTTTTGTGACAGTCTGGGGGAGGGGAGATGACTACAGCTCGGAGAAGGGGCACAGCCATACTGTCACTCCAGCTCCGCCCCTCTGTTGAACCAGTCACCAGGCTTTAAGCTCCCCTCAGGCCCTGCTTCAGGCTGGTCCTGCAGCTCACAATGTCTCCCACTTCCCTAAGACTTGAAGAACAAACTATAGTATTGGCAGCTCCTACCATTGAGCCCCTCCTGCTTACCCAGGGTAGGAGGGGTATTTCACACAAGCCCCCTGCCCCTGCTGGCTTGATCTGTTCCCAGCGTCCAGAGAGTAGCCAGTAGATTTTTGGAGGGGAGGAGTCTTTCGTCCCAGCCCCACCATCAGGAGGTGATAGAATCAGGAGTCTGTAGCACAGGTCTGCCCGCCCCTCTGCAGTGGTTGCATCTTCTGCCCATGGCTGCTCAGCAATTCTATTTTGGTGTCGGCCCTCCTCCCCTGCCTGAATGGATGTTTTTATCCTCCTAGGAACTGTGCCTGGGGGTGTAGCTGTTGTGGAGTTGCTTTCTGGGGGTGAGCTGGGACAGTGTGTGAGCCGAGCGTGCATGCTGGCTGGGTGTGTGACCAGACAGCGGGCCTTGCTCCTATCCAAGACCCTGTGAGGGCCTCTGTGTGCTGTGACTATCCTTCTGTCTCTCGATGCAGGGTCTGTGTCCACAGGAGTGGTGGGGGCAGGCTTTGGCCCCGTGGTTGGCAATTACCTCCACGACACTCAGGCCTGTGCTCCCAGCTGCTCTGGGGAGCAGTCACCATGGTCAGATGAGAACAGTCACCTCCACTGTGCCAGTCTGTGGATAGAGGCAGCCCAGCCTGGGCACTGGAGTGGGCGGCAGCTCAGCCCCCAACACTCAGGACACCCTGTTCTTGGTACAGTTCTCAAAGCAGGGAGTACCACCCCCCATCCTCTCCACTGCCCACTCTCTGCTTGGCCATTTTGGGCCTGCACTGAGGGGCTTGGCTGGAGCAATGGAGCTCCAGTCTGGGATGGAATCTTCTCCAAGCTAATTGAGGTTAATAGCAGGCTCATGTTGGTTGGTTTTATGCTGTGGCCGCCTGAAGAGAGACAACTTCAGTTTCTGGTATTTCTGGTATTTCCAGGCCTGAACCAGCACAAATCTTTGCCCCAAAGACCAAGGGGGAAGGGAAGTCCCAGGAGATGGGGCTGATGGGACTGGTGGGCAGCCTCAGCCCTTTGCCCTGGGAGATCCCTTTGCTTCTTTAGCTGCTCAGGCAGTCCTTGCCCAGCCCTGGATCTCATTCATTTCTGCCCTCTAGTGCCAGTGGTTCTTGGGGGTGGTACCAGTCTCTCTGTGGGGTTGCTCGGGAGACCACTGCCTCATTTTCTAAACATCTGCTTTGGCTGAGGTCACCATATAATATCTTCATTTTCTGAGTGACTGAAGGAAGAGGTTCTCCAAGACCTTACTAACCAAAGCTACAGCTCACAGAGAGCCTACTGGGTGCAGGTGTTGTCTGAGCACTTGGTAGATTAGCAATATGATAGGAATAGATGCTTGTCATCATTTTATATAAGGAAGTGGGGCACTGAGTGGCCAGACAGCTCATCCAGTGTTACCCGGCGAGGCCGCGGAGTAGCCGCAGTTTGAACTCAGCCTTTTCTTACTGACCCTGTGTTCCAGCTATCTGCCTTCAGTAGTGTGGCCCTTGCAGGAGGACCCAACAGGACTTGATTTCCTCAGAAGCTGTTTCGTGGCAGAAGGACATTGTGGTGGGTCTGGGAGTGCTGTGGTGTGTCCTGGAGAGGCGCAGACACTTCAAGCTGGTCATGCTGTAGCTGCCAGAAGGAGGCAGAACTCTCAAGTGCCCACCCTGGAGCGTTCTTCCCTTTCCATCCTGCCAGCTACCTTTCCCACATTCACAACTTCCTTCTGCTGTCCCACTCCCCACCGCCCAGAGTTCTCCAAGACTTGGCTCCACAGTCTGAGTCCCAGGTGTCTCTTAGGTTTGCCCTTCAGTGCCATTTTTTTCTGAGGGGCTAAAAGCTGCCTGGGATTAGGGGTTCAAAGTGGTCCTATGGGTTCAATAGCAGTTACTTCTGAGAACCAGTGTGGGCAGGGGTCTCCCTGTGCACTGACGCCTTAAGGACTCACACAATCTGAGGTTGCTCTCTTGAAAACCTAAGGCTTGCCTCTGGGCTCTTCAGCAGCAAATGGCAGAATGGGGATGGGAGTAGAGTTCCTCTGACTCGAGGCCTGGGGAGTACATAATGGCAACATCTCTCCAGATGGTGGGAGGGAAGCCAAAAATTCAGCAGAAAGGCGCTGAGACTGGGGGAGAACTGGCTGTGGTTAAGCTGGGTTGGTGAGCAGGAGCTGGGTGTGGTGACCTTTGGGCACCAGGGGGGTGTTCAGCGGAGGCCAGGGAATGGGCACAGCTCCATCGTTGCCCTACATACTGTCCAGGATCTCAGCAGGTGGGCCCTGGATTTGTCCCCACTTTCTAGGAAGGACACTGAGTTACAGAGAGGGCACAGACCTTGCCCAAGTTCTCCTAGCTGGCAGGGCCAGGATCTGGGTCATCACTACCCTTTGGCTCCCTCAGACTTCTCAGCTGTGACTTGGGAATGACATAAGAGCTGCTGTGAGGATGATCGGGTTAGATAGCACAGGATAGGCCAATGAACGACACTCCTTTCTTCACTGGCTACTGTCTGGACCCAAAGGGGAATCTTTTCCTTCCCTTGTACGGCTTGAGGTCACTGCCTCAACCAGATAACTCACAAGCAAAGGGTGGGCGACCTGCCGAGTTCCCTTCTTGAGAGCTGGAGACAAGAGGCCTGTGACTACCAACAGGTAGTAGATGGTAGCCCCTGTGAGGCTGGCCTGTACTCAAAGTCGCTGAGTGTCAGCAACACTCAGTTAGGCCTGAGAGTTAGGCCCAAGAGGTAAGGACCCAGAGGAATGAAGTCACCTGCCCCAGGTTTGCCTGTCTCTGTTGTCCTTCAACTCATGGGCCTCTACAGCCAGGCCTATGCTCAAAAACCAAATACAAAATGGAGGAAGGTGGGTGTGTGGAATGAGCTCAGATATATCCCCCAGATGTGGCTAGTGTCTGCCTATTGTGACTGGCCTAGCCTTAAGGTGCCTTGACTTAGCGATAAAGGGACAGGATGCTTGACCAGGCCACTCAGACTTTAGTTTAGAACAGCTTCCACTTGGCCTGGCTGGGTTCTTATGTCTCCCAGAACTTGCTGACAGGGCTAGCTAGTCCCTTTTTTGGCTCTTGCCCACAGGTGAGAAAGGCAAACCTGTTCCAACAGGTTCCTGAGGTCCCTCCTGGCTTCAGGATGGCACTCACCAATCATGCCCCCCTCTCCTTGTCCTTTCAAGTCTTTGTCCTGATCTGCTGTCCATCACCAGATGGCACCCACTGACTGTCCTCCACGCCAGGTTCGGAGGTATGCCAGGAGACAGGTAGTTACTTGAGCCGTCACTGCTGCCTGGGGATGCAGTGATGGTGAGGGGGATGGGCAGGGAGTTGTCCCACTTCAGTGCGGAGGTATAAAGAAGCAGTGTGACACATACGGTTTCCATAAAGCAGTGTATAGCCAGATACATCGTAGTTTTAAGTCTGCTATACTAGAATGTCCAGTGACTCTAATAATGAGTGTGTACGAAACACACCCTGCCACTTTTTAATATAAATATGGGATTCTACGAAAACAAGAAAAATAAAGAACATAGAGTCTGCTTTACACCTAAAGTCACCCCAGTACTTGGAAGGCAGAGGCAGAAAGACTGCCAAGTTTAAGGCCAGCCTGGGCTACGTAACAAGCTCAAGGCTAGCCTGCCTGTGTTACAGAGTAAGACAATATCTCCAAAGAAACAACAGAGGCATAGATCCCAGAGAGGAGGGCTGGGGTAGAAGGAAGAACAGGATTGGTGGGGGCTGGTGGAGAAGGGGTGGCTGTTTTGGGGGGGAGGAGGACACAGCATATACAGAGGCATAGACAGGGGTGTGACAGCTCAGAAGAGAAAACCCTATTGATTTATCCACCAGGCCCTCTAGAGAAGTGGTTCTCAACCTGTGGGTCGTGACCCCTCTGGGGGTCGAACGACCCTTTGACAGGGGTCCCCTATCAGATATCCTGCATATCAGATATTTACATTGTGATTCATAACAGTAGCAAAATTGTAGTTATAAAGTAGCAACAAAATAATTTTACAGCTGGTGTGTATGTGTGTGTGTGAGGTCACCACAACATGAAGAACTGCATTAAAGGGTTGCAGCACTAGGAAAGTTGAGAACCATGGCTCTAGAGGATGCTCTGAATGCTCACTGTGTGAGAGGGACTTTCTGAGAGCAATACCTATAGGAAGGCTGGCTCTGGGACCTCACCAGTACAGCTTTGGGCCCTGGGCATCAGCAGAGACTTCTCCACTGGACTGCTCATTGGGTAGCTGTCTCTTTCTCAGAACAGCACAGTTCAGCAACGCCAAGTGTGCTCATGCCTGCCAGCCCCTGCCAGCTCCCGGGAGAATGGCTTCCAAATTTCAATGACAGTTGGTTTCCAACAGCATCCAAATGGTCTGCCACGAGCCCAGCAGCCGAGGATGTCTAGGCCCACAGGTGCCAAGACAAAGGTTGGCCCAGGCAACCCCTTCCTGCAGCTTGAGCGAGTCAAAGGGCCCCATCAAGTTGGTGGCTCTGATGTCAGCTTCATGCTCAGGAGGTAGAAAGGCAGCTGGCTTTCAGCATTCCCTGGGGGGCCAGGGCTTGACTTTAGTGCCTCAAGGAACCTTCCAGTTCCAAGGAACTCTGTTGGGCCCTGGCTCGACTCTCATGTTACCAGTCTCAACTCACCTCCTTGGGAAAGCCTTTCCAGGGCACCCAGTATCAGCCAGGCGAGCCCTCCAACTTGTTCTGTTGCCCCCGTGTTTGTTGGTAGTGATAGTGCAGAGCTCGCCGGCTGCATGCTCAGATCCTGCCCTTTTAAAGTTCTGTGACCCTAGGCAAATTCCTTAACTGCTGTGTGCCTCGAATTCTGTGCTTGGTACATGGAAGCCTGACACAAAGGGCTGGCAAGTTTAGTGGGATGCTTCTTACAGTCCTTAAAATAGTGCCTGGCCCACAGTCAGCACTGCAGGTACCCCTGTCTCAGCTCCTCCTGGGCCCCCTACCCAGCACTGGATCATATTCTTTATTCCCTCGCTCGGGCCCTGCTCTGCTTCTGCCCCTGAACCATCTTAGGGCTTCATCTGAGGTGCCTGGCCCTAGAAGTGTTATCCCTCAGACACCTGGGGCCGCACCCAGACAACCCACGCTCCCAGAATGCTCCCCACCTCACCTTGTGTCACCACTTTGCCGAAGACAGGCAGCGAGTCCAGTGTGGAGCAGTTCCAGCGTCGATTCCGGAACTGGTACTGGCACTCCTCAATGGCCAGCTGGGCTCCACGGCGCACGGAGTCCATCACCTCTAGGTTCCGCTTGCACATCTGCACCTGCCTCTGGATCAGGCCTTTGAGCTTCTCGCACGTCTCCTCTTCGGAGATGCTGCCCACTGACGACAGCTTGGCCAGGTACCTGGGGACAGGGGTTGGGTGTGATGCACAGCCGCCCTGATGGCCGCTTTTCTCTTCCCACACCCACGGCTCAGGGTGCTGCCTCATGTCCTGGTGTGGGGTATGTGAGCCTCCCCCAGCTCTCAGACCAGTGGTCAGTATGTGAAGTCTGACACGGGCCTGAAGCAAAGGGCAGGGAGCTTGTCCTGTTTACTGAATGAGGGAATGACCAAACTGGAAGGCACGGAGGAAGTCTTATATGGGAAAGTTTTACTGTCATGGTAAGAGCTAATTTTTTTAAAAGTTATTTATTTATTTATTATGTATCCAGTGCTCTGTCTGAACGTACACCTGCACTCCAGAAGAGGGCACCAGATCTCATTAGAGATGGTTGTGAGCCACCATGTGGTTGCTGGGAATTGAACTCAGGAGCTCTGGGAGAGCAGCCAGTCTCTTAACCTCTGAGCCATCTCTCCAGCCCAAGAGCTAAGTTTTATGGAACCTAATTGGACATGGGGGAAGCCCTTTACATTATTTCAATTAAATCATCTCAGCAGGCCTCTGTTTTTTTACAACATGGATTGACTGATTGTGTTTGTTCACATGGATGTGTGTATGTGTGTGTGTGTATGTGTGTGTACATGTTTGTATATGTGTGTGCATGCACTTGTGTGCACATCCCTGTAAGGTTAGAGGTCAACCTTGGGTGTTCCTAAGGACCTAGCAAACCTTTTACTTCCTTTTCCTCCTCCTTCCCCCCCCCCCCAGACAAGGTCTCACATGCTCCCTGTATGACCTCATTACATAGCCAAGGGAAAACCTTGACCATCTGCCTCCACCTCCCAGTCGCATGGGATTACAGACATGCGACATCACACCTGGAGCCTTGTGTGTGATAGTTGTGCATGATCTACTAACTGAGCCCCACCCCCAGCCTGAGCTCCCAGTTAAAAGGGAAGAACACTGAGGCAAAGACAAGTCGTCGCCTTGTGTTTGCAGCCGGTGAGAGTTAGAGTTTAATTTTGTTTGATGTCATAGCCGTTGCTAGATCTTGAGTGACTCGGAGATTGACAGCTTGGCAGAAACAGCCAGGAACAAAGCATGCTGGGAGGGAGGCAGGCTGGGACTCTCCACCCACAGAGATAGGCTGGTAGCATCCAAGTTTTGCTAGTCAAGCTAGTGGGTCAGATTAGTGTTAGTTCTTGAATCTGACTGCATTGGGAATCTGTCTGTGGGCTCACGGAGAGCTCGGGTGTCTGGGCCCCACCTCAGATAGTGTCAGTGTGCCCTGAGCCTTGGGCATATCTCCAGGTGCAGTGGGAAGCCACTAGCCTACACAGTAGTCTTGAAAAAGTATCTATGACATTTTCTACCAAGTCCCAGAAGGCTCAGCCTTGGACATCCCTGGCCACACTGTCTTTGGCTCCTGGAAAGGAGTCTTTCTGCCCCCCCCCCCCAGCTGTAAGGTTGGTTCTGGCTTTCCTTATCCATACTGTAGTCATGGCTTCTATTCCAGGGAGCTGCTGTGAGGGCGGAGCATGGTAAGGTTTGCTAATGCGCCTAGCTCGGCTAGGTACATCTTAGGAGCTGTCCCAGGCAGCACCGGTGGGCCAAAGGAGATGGGGTAGTCTTAGAGCCAGCCAGAGCAACTGACCCTGGCATTCATTCCTGGTCTTCTAGGACCCCTTTCAGCCTTCACTGCCTCTGTACCAGGCCTGGCTTTTCACATAGGTTCTGGGAATCCAAATCAGGTTCCCGCACTTGTACAACAGGCACTTTGCAGACAGAGCCATTTTCCCAGGTCCTGCGGTATACCACAGACTAGCAGAACCCTGACCGATCTGTGTAGGAACCCGAGTGTCTTGGAAAGGAGAAAGGTATGTTAAGGGTCAGGAGAAGGGACCACTTGGACATGGCGAACCTGGCTTCAGCCCTGCCTGGGTGCTCCTAGCTTCCCTTGCCAGGTGAAGGGGGTCTTCTGCAGAACCACACCCCACGAATCGCTCTTGGCCTGCAGGGGGCGCCAAGAGCTCAGCTACTGGCGGTGGGCCAGGACTGTTCTGTAGCCGAGCGTCCTTCCTTGAAGGGTCAAGTTGAGCCTACCACTGGATATTTTCCTGTCTCCACTCAGGCTAGGCCTCTCAGAAAAGGCTGTAAACCCCAATCCCTCTAAGACTCTGGGTCACGGATCTTGCCTAACCTTATCTAGACTTCTTTTTCCCCCTCCCTGTAAGCTAACCAGGTCAGGTCTGGCAGGATTGGGCCCCACCTGGCCTCTGGTGAAGGGAGGCATTCAGGGATCGAAAGTCTCCAGCTAGAAGGAACAGGCGGGCGGCCTGGCTGAGCCGTCAGCCCATGGTGAACCCACCAGTGCCCTTCCACCTGGAGCTGGCTAAGGGCACAGTGAGCTAGCTGGTGGTTGTCGCCTTCCCCACTATCAGAGTTCGAGTCCTCCTTCTGTTGGCAGAAGAGGGCCTGCTGATCCCATGCCACCAAACGGGAGTGATGGACTCGAGGAACTGAGCATTCCTCCCTCGGGCTCTGAATGTAACAGGGAGACAGGCTGATGTGACACTGCCTGGCTGCCACAGCTGTGAGTCACCGGGACGGCATCCAGGGAGATGACGAGAAACTGCCTGTGGCAATACCAGTGCCCACCTCCCATTCCTGCCTTTACTTGGCACAACAGCTGCCCCTCCCATGTACGGGAGGCCTGTCCATCTCTGCTCCTGCTTTCTGAGACCCTAGGGGTTTTTCTGGCAGGTGCCAGAGCTGGCATAGGCCAGAGAAGGTTGGCACCCCAGTCCTCAGAGGCCGTAGCCTCTCCTTGTGCCACATGCTTGTCCTGGAGCCTGGCAAGTACCTGACCTCATTTCACAGACGAACAAAGCAAACTGAGGCTCACAGAGGTGAAGCGATTTGTAAGTCTCGCAGCTATCTAGCAGCAAGTAACTCTGGCTCTCAGCTCTCCCCTGTCTCTCTCCGGCTGGGGATTTGCCCCGCTAGACAGCTGGAGCGCTGACTCCGCAGGCTGTGTCTCTTCAGCCTCACATAGGGCATGGCACATCGAAGATATTTGTAACTTCTGCAGCTAGGGGGCTTTGTCCTGGTGCTCTCTCACCCCCATGGACGAGTATATAAGGGAAGGAAGTGACAGGAATATGGGGGTGGCCTCTGTGGTCCCTCCCAGTGCCCTATGGTGGCTCAACCTTTCCCCCAGAGACACGTGTGCCATTCACTGACCCGGGAGCTGGGTCGGGCTCAAATATCGACTGCACAGCCGTTTCTGGGAGAGGCAGAGCCAGGGCCTGACGGGTGTCGGCTGCCCCTGGGCTGGCTGTCTGGGGCTGACCATCCCTGCTTTTCTGGGCCTGTTATGCTGTCCCTGCTTAGGCTTCTTCCTGCTGTTGCTGAACACAGGCGGAGCGATTTGCCACCTGCTGCCCTGGTTACCCAGGACTCCAGCCATGGCCGTGCCATCGATCAGGTTACCCCACCAGCCCAGGCTGCCCCTGCCGCAGCCTCCGGCCAGCTCGTGCCCAGTGGGTCCTGCAGGCTCCTCCCCAGGAGGCCCTCCCCTCTGTGCCTGCAGCCTGCAAGGAGGAGGCCGGAGGGCCCTGGCCCTGCCAGGGAGATCAGATCCTCTCAACCACCTGCTGTTTTCATTAGAAACTAAAATTAGCTGGGCTTGTCCCAAGCTTTTCCAGGTTTGCTTGCTTTTTTAAACAAAATATACAAAATCGAAGAGGCTAATCCACACCTCTGTGGCTCCTCCCCACTGCTCCCTTGGACTAGAGGAGAGGGGCCGGGAAAGAGCGGCCATGGTGGGGAGCCAAGCAGGTCAGTGGCACTGGTCCTGGTTCTACAGTGTCCAGGTGGGGGCTGGGACACCAGCCCAGGCCTCTCTGCCCCTCCTTTTGGCCTCCCTGCCTGCCCAGGCCACATTTAGAGACTCCTTAGGAGTAGTTGTGCCCTCCATACCAGAGAGGCAGGAGGCCAAGTTGGCAGGAGGGCGTACCCGAAGGGAATGGTGTGTGAAGCAAGGGAGGCTTTCACTAGAAGATACAGCTAGGTGGAAGCAAGGGGCCACAGACTCCATCTGGGGCAGTGTTCTTAGGGAGGTGGGGAGGGATGTGCAACTCCCGGGACCCTTGCCACACAACCAACCATTACAACTACTTTGGGTGACTGCTGTACTGACCTCCACTGTGACCCTGTCCCGGAGACCCTTGTCTGTCCTCTGTGTAGGCAAATGACCTGGGTCAGACTCCTATCTCCGTGTCACTCAAGTCAAGTCAGTGAATATCTTAGAGCCCTGGCCTCAATGTGCTCATCTGTGAAATGGGGGGTAGGCCTTCTCTGTGGCCCTCCCTGCCCTTCTTGCTCTGCACCCTCTGCTGCACACAGCTGGACCTGTACTTGTCTGTCTTTGGGCCTTCTCTGCCCTCACAGAGCCAGGCCTTGGCTCATTTCAGCTCTGCGCCCTTCCAGGGGAATGGTGAATCACTTTGGTATGATTTGAACAGTAGGTTTTGGAGAGAATGTCCAGGTACATTTTCAGGGCTGGAGGAGCAATCCCCTATGCCCTAGATTATCTGTTTGACACTTCCAGGATCAGGGGTGAAGGGTGGTGAGGAGAGAATGTCTCCACAAGAAGACCAAGAGCCGGGGACTCAGGTCCAGCTTAAGCTCAAGTGTGCTGAGGGAACTCGGAGACTGTTTAGGGAAGGAGAATGCCCTGAGTGTGGCCCCTGCTGCACCTGTCACCTGTGTCATCACTCAGAAGTCACATGCTTCTGCATAGCTCCAGGGCAGGGCACCCCTGCCCGCTATCTCTTCCCTCTCAGAGAAGGCATTGAGGCTCCAAGGCTGGTCGCTGGGGGCAGGCTGCTTAGGCTCCAAAGATGGTCTGGAGTTTGGAGGGTAGGACCACTCAGTGTCTCATCAGACCCCGACCTGAGCAAGGCGCCCTGATCCTCCCCTGGATGGATCCGAGGCTTGTATCTACAGCAGGGACACTGG